TGTTGGAGGAGGTGGTGAGTGGTGCTGGAGGGAGGTGGTGTTGGAGGGACGGTGGTTGACGTTGTTGGAAGGTGAGCGGGTGGTGGTTGTGGTGGGTTGCAGTAACTAGTCGAGTAATATTAGTGTGAGTCGTGTCAGACAGTCAGGCCTGGCGTGTGTACGTCTGTCGTGACCGTGTATGACACACACACACACATTAATCACTAGAATAATCAAAATATTAGTTCTTCAATTACATATTTGTTTATTCAACACTGAATGTTTTGGATAGTAAAAATATCTTGTTAAATCCTTTGTTATTGTTCTTAGTGGAATGTATGTTTTTGTCTTTATATTTTTTTAATAAAGTTCTCTTGTACTTGTAGTTCGTGTCATTCTCTGTCATTCAGCATTTCAAACTACATAATATTATAACATAGCAAAGGTTAACTATGTCAGGTTTTTCTCGTTTAAGTCCTAAAGTATTTTAACCTTAATTGGTTTGCATTCACCACTAAACTTTTCGATGACCAGGTGAGGGGGCAGAGAGGCTCAGTGCAGGCACCGGAAGACGCAGACCTCACAAGTGACCCCGTGAAGGTGGTGGGTGACGTTTGTTTACACCGTGTGTGAGTCGTGTAGGAGATATTATAGCGGGCAGACTGTAGTGCACTGCTGGGGTGTGGAGGGACGCACTACCTCTAGGACCTTACTCGGGCATCCTAAGGGAACTGTCGTGGTGCAAGTTTGGTCACTGTCGGTCAACTCGTTTAGGTTAATTAAAACTACTTTATTAAACGACATGGGAGTTAAAGGCCCTAAGAGACGGTTTGTATGTATTGTTACGTAAGGCCAGACTCAGGACCTCCTGGTGTGAGAACTCTCCCACCAGCACGAGCAATCCACAGCGTCTGGCGAACCCCCTAATAATTCCCGCATTCATTGGCACGATTATTTAACCTACACCAGACGAATAAGTCTCTCTCTCTCTCTCTCTCTCTCTCTCACACGGCGGACAGACGAACAAACAGGGGTAGAGAGGATGGAGTTGCTGGGGGAATAGTCTCACGGACACCAACAAGTTAGCGGCGGGTGGGAGAATAATTGTAATCCTTATTCACTCACAACAACTAATACTCAAATTATAGTCCTGGGTGTGACGGACCTGTGGGAGTGTGACGGACCTGTGGAGTGTGACGGACCTGTGGGAGGTGTGACGGACCCAGGGAGTGTGACGGACCGTGGTGGGAGGTGGACGGACCTAGGGAGTGTGACGGACCTGTGGGAGGTGACGGACCTGGGAGGTGACGGACCTGTGAGAGTGTGACGGACCTGTGGGAGGTGTGAGGACCTGTGGGAGGTGTGACAGACCTGTGGGAGTGTGACGGACCTGTGGGAGTGTGACGGACCTGTGGAGGTGTGACGGACCCTGGGAGGTGTGAGAGGAGTATGGAGAGAGGGCAGAGAGGGGTAATGTGTGGAACTAGTCACGGCTGACCTGTGGTGCCCTGCCTGTGAGGACGACCCCGTCCCGTTCACCCTGTCCTACACCACCACCTCCTCCTACACCGCCCCCCACTACCACTACCACCACCTCCTACCCGCCCCCACTACCACCACCTCCTACTCCGCCCCCACCACACCTACGCCACTACCCATACCTCCTTCAACACCGGTCCCAAATCTCTGTACAACAAAGCCACCTGTCCTGAGCCTCCTGGCCTCACACACACGCACGCACGCACACACACACACACACACACACACACACACACACACACGCACACACACACACACACACACACACACACACACACACACACACACACACACAGACAGCTTTGCTCTTACTGCCAATGCGCCACGTTGTTTTATCGTCACAAAGTACAACGTTTCCAGGAAGAATTGCTGGTAATAGCTTGAGGATGGCGATGATGACTCCTGCTGGGTTTTTTTTGAGTGACTGTTGTTGATATCTACAGTCTAGCTCTGGGTGATTGTCTGTGATTTATGTTTGTCCTATTATTGACGAGGGCATAATGTTGCGCTGTCCTGGTTAAAGTTTTCGTCGTCCAACCAAGACCTCGGACGATGGCTGTATCTGAGGAGTCGGTGTGACCTGTGACCTAAACACGTCACATAAATGAGATCACCTGAGGATTAGCCCCCAGCTTATTCACTATACGTTTATCCACCTTAACCTAACGCTTAACTCACCTTATCTAGCCTAAAAACCTAACCCTAACCTAACCAGCTTCAACCTAACCCTAACGCAACGATCTAACCTAATACATACCCCTTCCCAGGTAGCGTTAGGGTGTTTATTCATCGGGTGAAATAAGCTGAGGTGTCTAATCTTCAGGCGACTTTCATTTCAGTTATGAGTTGTAAACAGTGTTGATATTGTTTGTGTTATGACCCTGATGTGTTGTATAGAGGGTGCAGCTTGAGATCGTGTGTGTCTCTCTCTGTATCTCCAATCAAGGAAAGTCATCTAAAGTAGCATAATGCAAGAATCATTAACTATGGGGGGATTAGATTAGCGTTAGGTGAGGTAGATAGGTTAGCTTGGTGTTAGGTTAGGTTATGTTAGTTTGTGTTTGGTTAGGTTTTAGATTTGTTGAAGCTTGATTTGGTATGTTAGTTGATGATGAGCTGGTTTGGTATGTTGTGCTGTTTGAGTATTTACGGGTTTGATAGAGCTTGGATTTGGGTTATTTAGCTGGATAATTTAGCTTGCATTTGTATGTAGCTGGTTGGTATGTTAGCTGTCGTAGGTTGTCATTCTGCTGTAGAATGTGTTGCATGCTCATTTGGTTTTTTGGTTTTATGTTAGTGTGTTAGCTGGTTTTTGAGGTGGTGCACTGTGATATAGAATTATCTTTTTTAGTGTTCTGGAAGCTTCTAAACTGTTTGGTTAATTTTTGCACCAGAGGACCAGTTACACAAACACCGCCATGGCTGATGCTTGCTTTGTGCCTCCACCCACTGTTGACTACCTCCACCCTCCACCCACTGTTGACTACCTCCCGCCCTCCACCCCCACTGTTGACTACCTCCACCTACTGTTGACTACTCCACCCACGGTTGATTACCCGCCCCTCCACCCACTGTTGACTACCTCCTCCACCCACTGTTGATTACCCGCCCCTCCACCCACTGTTGACTACTCACCCTCCACCCACTGTTGACTACCTCCACCCACTGCTGACTACCTCCACCCACGGTTGATTACCCGCCCCTCCACCCACTGCTGACTACCTCCGCCCTCCACCCACTGTTGACTACCTCCGCCCCTCCACCCACCTGTTGACTACCTCCGCCCTCCACCCACTGTTGACTACCTCCGCCCTCCACACCCACTGTTGACTACCTCCACCCTCCGCCCACTGTTGACTACCTCCGCCCCTCCACCCACTGTTGACTACCTCCACCCACTGTTGATTACCTCCACCCACGGTTGATTCCCGCCCCTCCACCCACTGATGACCCCCGCCCTCCACCCACTGATGACTACCTATTCCATAATGAGTGATGACAGTGAGGGAAAACGTGATGAGGGGACAGGTAGGGGGAGGTGAGGGAGGAGGGAAGGTAGGGGGGTGAGGGAGGACGGTAGGGGGGTGATGATGGAGGAGGGTCGGGGGGTGGTGAAGGAGGTAGGGGAGGTGGTGAAGGAGGGAGGGTTGAGACCGATGGTGATTGACAGACTGGTGGCGGCAGTGACGGATGCTGTCCCTACTGCTGCCTGTACTACTGCTGTCTGCTTGTCCCTGCTGCTGCTCTGTACTACTGCTGTCCCTGTTGCTGCCTGTACTACTGCTGTCCTTGTTGCTGCCTGTACCACTGCTGTCCCTGCTGCTGCCTGTACCACTGCTGTCCCTGCTGCTGCCTGTACCACTGCTGTCCCTGCTGCCTGTTTCACTGCTGTCCCTGCTGCTGCCTGTACCACTGCTGTCCCTGCTGCTGCCTGTACTACTGCTGTCCCTCCTGCTGCCTGTACTACTGCTGTCCCTGCTGCTGCCTGTACTACTGCTGTCCCTGCTGCTGCCTGTACTCACTGCTGTCCCTGCTGCTGCCTGTACTCACTGCTGTTCCCTGCTGCTGCCTGTACTACTGCTGTCCCTGCTGCTGCCTTGGTACTACTGCTGTCCCTGCTGCTGCCTGTACTACTGCTGTCCCTGCTGCTGCCTGTACTACTGCTGTCCCTCCCTGCTGCCTGTACTACTGCTGTCCCTGCTGCTGCCTGTACTACTGCTGTCCCTGCTGCTGCCTGTACCACTGCTGTCCCTGCTGCTGCCTGTACTCTGCTGTCCCTGTGCTGCCTGTACTACTGCTGTCCCTGCTGCTGCCTGTACTACTGCTGTCCCTGCTGCTGCCTGTACTACTGCTGTCCCTCCTGCTGCCTGTGTACTACTGCTGTCCCTGCTGCTGCCTGTACTACTGCTGTCCCTGCTGCTGCCTGTACTACTGCTGTCCCTCCTGCTGCCTGTACCACTGCTGTCCCTGCTGCTGCCTGTACTACTGCTGTCCCTGCTGCCCCCCTTCCAGCGTCCCTTGCTGCCTGTACTACTGCTGTCCCTGTTGCTGCCTGTACCACTGCTGTCCCTGCCTGTAATACTGCTGTCCCTGCTGCTGCCTGTACTACTGCTGTCCCTCGCCCAGGTCACTGCTGTCCCTGCTGCTGCCTGTACTACTGCTGTCCCTGCTGCTGCCTGTACTACTGCTGTCCCTCCTGCTGCCTGTACTCACTGCTGTCCCTCTGCTGCTGCCTGTACCACTGCTGTCCCTCCTGCTGCCTGTACTATCTGCTGTCCCCTCCTGCTGTCTGTACTCACTGCTGTCCCCTCCTGCTGCCTGTACTACTGCTGTCCCTGCTGCTGCCTGCTGTACCACTGCTGTCCCTCCTGCTGCCTGTACTACTGCTGTCCCTCCTGCTGCCTGTACTACTGCTGTCCCTCCTGCTGCCTGTACTTGCTGTCTCTGCTGCTCCTCTTGTCCTGTTGTTACTCCTGATTTTCCTACTGCTGCTGCACCTGCTGCTGCTGGCACTGCTGCTGCCCCTGCTGTTGCTGGGTACTACTGCTGGCCGTGTTGTTCTGGGTACTGTTTGGCCTGCTGTTGCTGGCACTGTTGCTGGCCGTGTTGTTGGTGGAGGCATTGCTGCTGCCCCTGTTGTTGCTTGGTACTGCTGCTGGTCCTGTTGTTGCTGGGTACTGTTGCTGGTCGTTGTTGTTGGCATTGTTGCTGCCCCTGTTGTTGTTGGTACTGCTGCTGGTCGTGCTGTTGCTTACTGCTGCTGCCCCTGCTGTTGTTGGTACTGCTGCTGGTCCTGCTGTTGCTGAGTACTGCTGCTGCCCCCTTGCTGTTGTTGGTACTGCTCTGGTCTCTGTGTTGTTGGCACTACTGCTGGTCGTGTTGTTGTTGAAACACTGCTGCGCCTGCTGTTGCTGGTACTGTTGCTGGTCCTGCTGTTGTGACTGCTGCTGGTTGTTGCTGCGACTGTTGCTGCTCCTGTGTTCGGACTGCTCTGCCTTGCTGTTGCTGGCACTGCTGTCCTGCTGTTGCTGGGCAATATTGCTGGCCGTGCTGTTGCTGAGCACTGCTGTCCCCTGTTGTTGCTGGTACCGTTGCTGTCCCTGCTGTTACTGGCACTGTTGCTGGTCCTGCAGTTGCTGGGCACTTTGCGGTCGTGCTGGTGCTGAGTACCGTTGCTGCCCCTGCTGTTGCTGGTACTGCTGCTGGCCGTGCTGTTGCTGAGCACTGCTGCTGCCCCTGCTGTTGCTGGCACGTTGCTGGGTCCTGCTGTTGCTGGCACTGCTGCTGGTCTTGTTGTTGCTGGGTACCTGTTGGCCGTGTTGTTGTTGAGTACTGCTGCTGCCCCTGCTGTTGCTGGGTACTGCTGTTGGCCCTGCTGTTGTTGGGTACTGTTGCTGTCTCCTGCTGTTGCTGGTACTGTTGCTGGTCCTGTTGTTGTTGGGTACACTGCTGGCTGGTTTTGAGTACTGTTGCTGCCCCCTGTTGTTGCTGGGTACTGTTGCTGCCCCTGCTGTTGCTGGTACTGCTGCTGCCCCTGTTGTTGCTGGGTACTGCTGCTGCCCCTGCTGTTGCTGGGTACTACTGCTGGCCATGCTGTTGCTGAGTACTGCTGCTGCCCCCTGCTGTTGTTGGCACTGCTGCTGCCTGTTGTTGGCTTGCGCTCCCGCTGTTGCTGGACTACTGCTGGTCGCTGTTGCTGGGCACTACTGCTGGCCCTGCTGTTGCTGGGTACTGCTGCTCGGTTGTTGCTGGGTACTACTGCTGGCCCTGCTGTTGCTGGGTAGATTGCTGGCCGTTGTTGCTGGTACTGCTGCTGCCCCTGCTGTTGCTGGCACTGCTGCTGGCCCTGCTGTTGTTGGTACTACTGCTGGCCGTGCTGTTGTTGGCACTACTGTTGGTCTGTTGTTGCTGAGTACTGTTGCTGCCCTGCTGTTGCTGGGTACTGTTGCTGGTCCTGCTGTTGCTGGTGCTGTTGCTGCCCCCTGCTGTTGTTGGTACTACTGCTGGCCGTGTTGTTGTTGAGTACTGCTGCTGCCCCTGCTGTTGCTGGGCACGTTGTTGTCCTGCTGTTGTGGTACTGTTGCTGTCTCCCTGCTGTTGCTGGGTACTGCTGCGCCCGCTGTTGCTGGGTACTGCTGCTGGCCCGTGCTGTTGCTGAGCACTGCTGCTGCCCCTGCTGTTGCTGGCACTGCTGCTGCCCCTGTTGTTGCTGGCACTGCTGCTGGTCTCTGCTGTTGTTGGTATTGTTGCTGCCCCGCTGTTGCTTGGCACTACTGCTGGCCGTGCTGTTGCTGAGTACTGCTGCTGCTCCTGCTGTTGCTGGGTACTTTGCTGGTCCTGCTGTTGCTGGGTACTACTGCTGTTGCGTTGTTGCTGAGTACTGCTGCTGCCCCTGCTGTTGCTGGGTACTGCTGCTGTCTCCTGCTGTTGCTGGTACTGCTGCTGCCCTGCTGTTGCTGGCACTGCTGCTGCCCCTGCTGTTGCTGGGTACTACTGCTGGCCATGCTGTTGCTGAGCATCAGTTGCTGCCCTGCTGTTGCTGGTACTGCTGCTGCGCCTGTTGTTGCTGGCACTTGTTGCCCTCGCTGTTGTTGGGTACTACTGCTGGCCGTGTTGTTGTTGGCACTACTGCTGGCTTCCTGTTGCTGGGTACTGCTGCTGGCTGTGCTGTTGCTGGCACTACTGCTGGTCCCGCTGTTGTTGGGTAGTACTGCTGGCCGTGTTGTTGTTGAGTACTGCGTTGCCTGGGTTGCTTGCTTTTGTTGGTACTGCTGCTGGTCTCTGTTGTTGTTGGTGCTGCTGCTGCCCCTGCTGTTGCTGGGTACCACTGCTGGTCGTTGTTGCTGAGTACTGCTGCTGCCCCTGCTGTTGTTGGTACTGCTGCTGGTCTCTGTTGTTGCTGGGCACTGCTGCTGCCCCTGCTGTTGCTGGGTACTGCTGCTGTCCCTGCTGTTGCTGGTACTGCTTGCTGGCCCTGTTGTTGCTGGCACTACTGCTGCCCCTGCTGTTGCTGGGTACTACTGCTGGCCCTGCTGTTGTTGGGCACTGCTGCTGCCCCTGCTGTTGCTGAGTACTGCTGCTGGTCTCTGCTGTTGCTGGGTACTGCTGCTGCCCTGCTGTTGCTGAGCACTGCTGCCCTTTCGTTGTTGTTGGTACTACTGCTGATCCTGCTGTTGCTGGCACTGCTGCTGTCCCTGCTGTTGTTGCACTACTGCTGGTCCCTGTTGTTGCTAAGTACTACTGCTGGTCCTGCTGTTGTTGTACTGCTGCTGGTCGTGCTGTTGCTGGGTACTGCTGGTCCTGCTGTTGTTGTCACTGCTGCTGGTCGTGTTGCTGTTGCTGGGCGTGCTGCTGGTCTCGCTGTTGTTGGGTACTGCTGTCATCGTGCTGTTGCTGGTACTGCTGCTGGTCCTGCTGTTGCTGGGTACTACTGCTGGCCGTGCTGTTGTGTGGTACTGCTGCTGCCCCTGCTGTTGCTGGGAACTACTGCTGCCCTGCTGTTGCTGAGTACTGCTGCTGCCCCTGCTGTTGCTGGGTACTTCTGCTGGTCCTGCTGTTGCTGGTACTGCTGCTGCCCCTGCTGCTGGTACTGCTGCTGGTCGTGCTGTTGCTGGTTACTGCTGCTGGCCGTGTTGTTGTTGGGCACTGCTGCTGGTCGTGCTGTTGCTGGGCATCTGCTGGCACTGCTGTTGTTGGGTACTGCTGCTGGTCGTGCTGTTGCTGGTACTGCTGCTGGTCCTGCTGTTGCTGGTACTGCTGCTGGTCTGTTGTTGTTGGGTACTACTGCTGCCCGTGCTGTTGCTGGGTACCACTGCTGGTCTTGCTGTTGCTGGGCACTGCTGCTGGTCCTGCTGTTGCTGAGTACTGCTGCTGCCCCTGCTGTTGTTGGTACTCTGCTGGTCCTGCTGTTGTTGGCACTGCTGCTGGTCGTGCTGTTGCTGGGTACTGCTGCTGGTCGTGCTGTTGTTGGCACTGCTGCTGCCCCTGCTGTTGTTAGGTACCTGCTGCTGCCCCTGCTGTTGCTGGGTACTGCTGCTGGCCCTGCTGTTGCTGGGTACTGCTGCTGGCCCTGGTTGTTGGCACGCTCTTGAGACAGTTGTTACCATCACTGTGATCATGGCCACTACCCAGTAATGGTACCAGGTCCCACCGCTGTACTCAGTTACTCTTGCTGCTGCTCCTGCTATTTGTGTCACCACCACCGCCACTGCTGTTGGTTATGTTCTTAGGGGTGCTACTGCTGCTGCCACTTGTGTTCCGTTCCTATAGTTTGATAAGATAACCCCTCACCACACCCCGCTACCAGGTCACGTCTCTCTCCTGTCTGGCCTTGTCGCTTCCAGTGGGGGATATGGGAATTGTTCACTACCTGTCCGTCTAGTTGTGTGTGTGTGTGTGTGCGCGCGCTCTCGTTTTCGTGTTCGGCCGAGTATATCATGTACGCATGATTATGGACAACTTTCAAATTCTGTAATATTTCTTGGTTTTTGTGTGGACGTGACCCACCACTAAGATCAATGACGAATTCAGTCTAAGTTAATATATATATATATATATATATATATATATATATATATATATATATATATATATATATATATATATATATATATATATATTATTTTATTTTTTCCAGGGAAGTTAAAGTCTGGGGGTTAACTCTTGATGGACACAATGGAGTTTTTATTTATTTATTTTTATTTTTTACTTTTCCCCAAGAGGTGGTCGAGTGTGTACTGTAGGGTGTCCGAGGCTGGGAAGGTGTGTAGATTATTTAGGTAGAATAATACATAGACTAAGTAAACAACAACAGTACTAACGTGGCATGTACTGGGGCCTGCTGGAGACTCCTTTAAGACACCACCTTATCAATGCTGTACGTTGATCAGAAGACAGGTATTATCAAGTGCGGGAGTGACATTGTCGGGGAGGATGACACACTGAACGAATTGTTACATCAACCGATAGATAAGATGATGGGTGGTGTGTCGATTACTATAGTACAGATTGATAGTTGATTATTTTAGAGTATGATTGAGTCGATTACTATAGTACAGATTGATAGTTGATTATTTTAGAGCATGATTGAGTCGATTGCTATAGTACAGATTGATAGTTGATTATTTTAGAGTATGATTGAGTCGATTACTATAGTACAGATTGATAGTTGATTATTTTAGAGCATGATTGATAGTTGAATACTGTACTGAATGATTGATTGGTTAAGTTAGCGATAGGGTAGTTGATCTTACGGTGAAATAAGCTGTGGGGGGCTAATCTTCAGGTGATCCAACATAATAATCATATCTTGGAGGAACGATATTGATATTGAAACAGTTTATTTAGCCAGAAAAAAAGATACAGAGTTGATAATAATAACAATATTAACATGGCTGAGCTCTCCTCTAGGCACCTGATATATACTATACATTTATCTCAAGGAAGTATTATGTAACATTTAGTATGATCTGGAATAGTACAATAGCATGGTGGTAATAAGAACATCTCATAATGTTACCACAGTTATCACTTTATTATTTCGTTATTGACAAGTTTTACAGTGTACTTGACCATCCGAGGCTGTACAACACACAAGCTTCCAGACTGCATTGCCGCTTTTGTAGGATATCAAGTTGGGTATTGTGGCTGTGGTGGTGGTGTGACGGGGAAGATCTGAGGGTAAGGGGCGGTGTTGGGTATCTTGTCGACATTGCTTGTGACGCTGTTCCATCATCTTCTTTCCTTCCTGTTTTCATGTTCCGTCTTTTATCTCCCATCTTTCCCTTCTTCTTTCCATCCAGAATTCCGTTTCCTCCCGCCCCCTATTGCCTTTCTACCCTCTTTTCCTCCCCGCCTCCTCCTCCGCCCTATTGCCTCTTTCCTCACGTCAAGACATCGTCACCTTCCTCCTTAGACTCTCTTTGTACCCCGTGTGTGTCCTTCAAAGATCTTACCTATCGGGTTTGTATTACACCTGCTCAGCTGATCTTGTTGACCTCAGGTGTTAGGGGGACTGGGCAGGGAAAGGGCACAAGGGATGTAGTTCCCGGGCAGTGCCTTATAGTAGTTTTAAATGCCAGGTGGACGGGTGCCAGCTGCGGACAGTAATAGTCTGGTGTACCACAACATAGCTGAGTCCCCTGGTGGGTGGTTACCTCCTGCTGTGGTGCCACGTCCTCTGTACTAGCTCTCCCATCTGCTTACCGCCACCTCCTAGCACCACCACCTACAGCCACCACTACTGCCTGCTGGCTGAAAGCAAGACTCCCAACCAAAGCTTAACCAATTAGTTTTATTTTGTCTTAAATTATTATAACGTCTTTTATATGATATCTATGTCAATTGTGTCAAGGTAGTTATTGTTGTGTTAGAAGTTGATGACTTTTGTAGGGGGCAAGTGAAGGTCTATATACACCAGGTCGGCCAGACAATACACTGGCTCTGTGCATGACTTCGCGTGAGCCGGTCGCTCCCCAGTGAGAGACTGTGAGCCGCACACTTACCTAAGTCTGTTTATACAGCAGTACTATTTTTCTAAGTTACTTTTATTTCACTTATTGTTTTCAAGATGGCTAATGATAATCAACAGTTCCTATTTGGAAATAAAAGGATATTAATAGTTTTTAGTTTGTAAATTGTTTAATAATACCAATAATATACATCAGCAGTATTTGTTTACCTATCAGTATAATATAATGTATATTTTCGCCTTCAGACCTCTTGCCACAATAAAGGTCAGTAAAGTATTAAATAAAGCATGTTATATCTTACAAGTGTGTTACAATATGTAATTAAATAAATAAAAGCCGAAACAAATGTACACATTCATTTGACGTAATTGTAGTGGGCTTCAAATCTTAACATTATCGCAGTGGCTATTCAGTCGTCACCTGTTTTATAGACTGGTAGTTTACGCAGCCGTCCCGGGACGGTTACATAGACAACCAGGCTATTCAGCCATGAAACCATCGCCATGTGGGTCATAGGTGGATCTGAGTATTGACATCTTTGGAGAGGACAGCACAGGAGAGCAGAGGACAGGACATCTCTGGACAGGACAGGATTATTGGTAACTGGGCCTCAACCTGACATGGTCAGATCGGTGTACAGCCAGACGGACGCCTTTATGTGGCGGAAATGACAATTCGTTAATTAGACTGGCAGTTTTGATGACAAGAGGTCGTGGCTTCATCATGACCTACCACCAGGTATACACAGTTCCTCTGTGACGTGGACATCAAGACGGTCTTACCTGAGTCTGCCAGCTAGTCCAAGACACCAGATGTCGCTCTTGCCCACAAAGAGGAATTGTCAGTGGTGCTGTTTTACCACAAGTAACCTCTGTTGCTGGTGATGCATGTGTTAGATATCACACGTTTTTCCTACATTCGTTTGTACACAGTCAACTTAAAGCCCATGCACCTCTGACACAGGAGTGGTGTGTATCTGTGTGTGTGTGGCCGACTGACCACATAGGACAAAACCACAAACCACATACAAGTGCGAGGAAAGACAGTCAAGCAAGCAGCAGCCCTGAGTTTAATCCCTTTGATTTCTAAGTAGATTTAACTCAAAGGTAAACCAGTGAGGTATTTTCACAGCCAGTCATGTCTTGTGAATTGTGTTCATAATTGTTTGTTAAATATTTTATATAGAACAAAGTTTTATGTCCCCTGTGATACCACTTGCGAGGAAGTAACTACGAGTATTCACCTATGATGTCAATTGTATTTATTTCTTGGTGATGACTAACGTACCTAGTAGTGGGTGGAGCTGATGGCAGGGATTAAGGACAATGGATAATATCCTCTCTACATCCCTTGAGCGTAACCCAACACGGTCAGGATCGGCTCGTGTAACGTCATAGGACCTACGCGCAGGTGTATACAGACCTTGGGGGCAAGTGAAGGCGCGGGGATGCTGTATCGTGTAAACATGATATTTATAGTGAGTTAGCTCAGTTAGACTAGTTTATATTATTTATAGCATTCAGCGTCAAGTAAACCTTAGAACTAGTATTCCCACTGTGTCCACAAGTCGGGGCTACATGATGGAGCAAGTCAGAAGGTACACAGGTTGTTGGACACCAGTTTATTTATTTAATGTTGACTCCCTTTCAGCTTGTCACTCTCAAACCTTCGTGTATTATGCTTGTGTCCGAGGCCAGATACGGGTACACAGGGGTCCGTCAACCAGAAGTTACTGCGTGTAGGTCTCCGGATACATGACAGACGTGCCAAACTAAAATTCTCTGAGGGATGAAGAGATATGACCTCGATCTTGATCTCTGTAACAGAAGTCGCCTGCCATTAATCGGTTAAGAATTATAAGAAGACTGAAAAATATATACTCCTCGAGCATTATACATTATTATTATTCCCAGTAATACGATCTGTAATAAAGTTTTTACAGGGAGCTTTAAACTCTTCAGCATGTTGACCTGTTTTATAATGTCTCACTTAACCTTGTTCTGCAGACTTCTTGTAATATGTATAACTGTTGACCCATCATTGAAGCCGAAGTCCTTGGCCCTTTGTGAATATTTGTGATTTTTACTCCTCCGTCCACAGGTTAGACTCAGAGACACACTGACTACCTAAGTCAAATGTTTCTCCTTCAGGGGTACAAGATGATAGTGATGGTGCTGCTGTTTCATATTTTTTTCAGATTTGCTTCAATGTTTCGGTTGTTTCAATGGACTATTTCTGTTATTGTTTCCTATTGACTATTCCCGTTGTTGTTGACTCGTGAGCAATAACCGTGTCGTTTTGTTGATTATTGGCTCTGATAGTTGTAATGACCTCGTCCTGTTGGCCTTGACCTCCCTTTGTTGTTGTTTTGATGTGATGTCTTTCTGTTGTTTCTTGACCCTAATTAAATTTTTTTTGTTATTGTTGACATTTTTTTGGGGAATTTGTTGATTCTTGTTGACCTCTGCTTGTTGTTACCTTTGGTTATTGTTGTTGTTGTGGGACCCGGGTCATAAGTCGTGGTGGGCGTGTGACTGGTGGTGGGCGCGCGGTAAATTTTCATTGTATTATTATTAAGGGAGAGTTGAACACGCCATTGGGCTAACTTATGTTTTTCTGCGGGGCCAGACAGAGTTACGACTGCCGGACACGAAGCCCCACCACACGCGCCCCGATCCTCTTGTTTATGACCCCCTGCCGGACCTTAGCTGCCCTGCCTCGCCAAGCCTCGCCTCGTCCGCTAACGTGTGTGTGTGTGTGTGTGTGTGTGTGTGTGTGTGTGTGTGTGTGTGTGTGTGTGTTGTACCCCCCTTCCCCCTTCCTTCCCTTATACCAACTACTTTGACCACTTTAGTTTTCACATTTCCACCATCCTCCTCCTCTTGATCTTTCTTCCCCTTCTTCTTTATCTCCTCTGCTCTTCTTCCTCACCCCTACCTCATTCTACACCTCTCTTCCTCAACCTGCCCCACCTCCTCCACCTCCTCCTCCTCGAACCTCCTCCTCCTCGACTGCCCTCCTCCTCTCTCCTCCTCCTCCTCGACCTGCCCCACCTCTTCCTCGACCTGCCCCACCTCCCTCGACCTGCCCCCCACCTCTTCCTCGACCTGCCCCACCACCTCTTCCTCGACCTGCCCACCTCCTCCTCGACCCGCCCCCTCCTCCGGTCCTTGCACCACCAGTATCAGTACACCTGCCGCTCTCCCTGCCATCGCCCCCGCCGTCAGTGATATTACTGTTGTTTGCGTCACTGCTAGCGCCACCGTCACTAGCGCGCCACCAACCGCGCTATTAGCACCACCGCCACTACTAGCACACCGCCACTTACTGCGCCACCGCCACTACTGCCCACCGCCACTACTAGCCCACACCACTACTAGCCACTACTAGCACCCGCCACTAGCGCCACCGCCACTACTAGCCCCACCGCCACTACTAGCGCCACCGTCACTGCTAGCACAACCGCCTCTAATAGCGCCACCGCCACCGCGCCGCCGCCAGTATTAACACCACCGCCACGCGCACTACGCCACCAGCGCCACGCCACTGCTAGCGCCCGCCACTAGCGCCGCCGCCACTGCCAGCCGCCACCGCCACTACTTCACCATCACTGCGCTACCCACCGCCTCTACTAGCACCACTCTAGCGCCGCCGCCAGCCGCCACTGCACCACTACTACCACCGTCATTCCTAGTCCCGCAGTCACTGCTAGCGCCACCACCGCTAATAGCGCCACCGTCACGCGCCACCACCACTATAACGCCACGTCACTGCTCGCACCACCACCACGCTGCACCACCGCGCCGTATCGCCACTACTTGCACCAAACTAGCACGCTCAACCGCTCGCACCACCACCACCATTAGCACCACCGCCACTACTTGCACCATCGCCACTACTAGCACCACCACAACTGCTACTGTCACCGCCACGGTAAACGCCTCCGTCACTGTTGAGGCCATCGCCACTGCTATCGCCTTCGCCACTACTTGCACCACAACGATTTTCAAGAAGGGAGATAGATCACTACCGTCCCACCAGTTTAACATCAATCGTAGGCAAATAGCTGGAAGCAGTAATTTCAAACTCTATTCAAAATCACCTGGAGAAGCACAAGTTGATCAATTATTCCCAACGTGGCTTCACAAGTGGGCGTTCATGTCTGACTAATATATTAACATTCTTTTCAGCGATTTTCGAATTAGTGAATGACGGACACGATTATGATGTGGTATACCTCGACTTTAGCAAAGCCTTCCACAGAGTCTCTCACGAAAGACTAATACGAAAAGTGGAGCCTCATGGAATTGGAGCATTGGAGGAGATATTCTAAAATGGATTAGTGCTTGGTCAAAGGACAGGAAACAGCGAGTAAGCATTAACGGCCCTAAATCCGATTGGGGTAACGTCACTAGTGTAGTACCCCAAGGCTCAGTACTTGGACCGTCATTATTTATTACATACATACACGACATAGGTATAGGCGTAAGCAGCAACATAAGTAAATTTGCTGCCGACACTAAAATAGGGCGTGTAATAAAATCTGACGAGGACTCCGCAAAACTACAGGAAGATCTAAAAAAAAATTTCGAATGTTCTGAAAAATGACATGAAATTTAATGTGGACAAATGTAAAGTACTTAGTCTAGGAAATGTAAACAGAGAAACCAGATATCAGATGAACAACGATGTTATAGAGAAATCCGACTGTGAGAGATTTAGGAGTAATGATAAGTAGGAATCTTAAACCTATAACAATGTGTATTTGCTTGAAACAAGGCTAATAAAGTACTTGGGTTCATACAAAGGAGAGTTAGTTACAAGACAAGCGAGGTTAACCTAAAACTATATCTTGCGCTTATGAGACCTCACTTGAATTACACAGTTCAGGTCACCGTATTACAGAATGGATAGAATTCCTAGAATGAATTCAGAGGAGAATGACAAGGCTAATCCCGGGCATTAGGAACCTTGAGTACAGAGACAGGTTAAAGCATCTTAATTTGCACTCCCTCGAGAGACGTAGAGTGAGGGGCGATATGATCGAGGTGTATAAATGGAAGTCAGGGCTAAACAAAGGTGATATAACAAAGGTACTCAAACTATCCAACCAGGAGCGAACTCGTAACAATGGTTTTAAATTAGACAGGTTTAGATTTGGAAGCGTGGCTTGGTAAGCTTTTGGTTGGAAATAAAGTGGTGGATGGGTGAACAAGTTGCAAACATCATCATTAACAAGTACTTCAGATAGTTTAAACATAAGTTTGGACTGGACATATGGGCAAAGGGGTTGGGTGTAAACGGGACTGCTTAGTGATATGGGTATTTAATAGGCCCGCTGCGGATTTCCTCATTCTCTTATGTTCTTATGTTTGAGTGCCACACCACTATTAGCATCACCGCCACTATTAGCATCACCACCACTATTAGCATCACCACCATTATTAGCATCGCCGCCACTATTAGCATCACCGCCACTATTAGCATCACCACCACTATTAGCATCACCGCCACTATTAGCATCGCCGCCACTATTAGCATCACCGCCACTATTAGCATCACCGCCACTATTAGCATCACCGCCACTATTAGCATCACCACCACTATTAGCATCACCGCCACTATTAGCATCGCCGCCACTATTAGCATCGCCGCCACTATTAGCATCACCGCCACTATTAGCATCACCACCACCATTAGCATCACCACCACTATTAGCATCACCGCCACTATTAGCATCGCCGCCACTATTAGCATCACCACCACTATTAGCATCACCACCATATTACACCGCCACCACATAGCATCACCGCCACTATTAGCATCACCGCCACTATTAGCATCACCGCCACTATTAGCATCGCCGCCACTATTAGCATCACCACCACTATTAGCATCACCGCCACCATTAGCATCACCGCCACTATTAGCATCACCACCACTATTAGCATCACCGCCACTATTAGCATCGCCGCCACTATTAGCATCACCGCCACTATTAGCATCGCCGCCACTATTAGCATCACCGCCACTATTAGCATCACCACCACTATTAGCATCACCACCACTATTAGCATCACCGCCACTATTAGCATCACCGCCACTATTAGCATCACCGCCACTATTAGCATCACCGCCACTATTAGCATCACCGCCACTATTAGCATCACCACCACTATTAGCATCACCAATTACCACAGCATCACCGCCACTATTAGCATCACCACCACTATTAGCATCACCACCACTATTAGCATCACCGCCACTATTAGCATCACCACCACTATAGCATCACCGCCACTATTAGCATCACCGCCACTATTAGCATCACCGCCACTATTAGCATCGCCGCCACTATTAGCATCGCCGCCACTATTAGCATCGCCGCCACTATTAGCATCGCCGCCACTATTAGCATCGCCGCCACTATTAGCATCACCGCCACTATTAGCATCACCGCCACTATTAGCATCACCGCCACTATTAGCATCACCGCCACCATTAGCATCACCGCCACCATTAGCATCACCGCCACTATAAGCATCGCCGCCACCACATCGCCGCCACTATTAGCATCACCGCCACCATTAGCATCACCGCCACCATTAGCATCACCGCCACCATTAGCATCACCGCCACCATTAGCGCCGCCACAACTATTAACATCACCGCACTTGTACCGCCGCCACTAGCATCACCTCCACTACTAGCACCGCCGCCATTACAACCATCACCGCCACAACCAGCACCGCCGCCACTACTAGCATTACCGCTACTAGCGCCACTGTTAACGCCGCCGCCACTGTTAGTGCCACCGACTCACCGCCACTGTTAACGCCGCCGCTACTGCTTACGCCGCCGTCACTATTATCGTCGCCGCCACTACTAGCATCACCTCCACTACTAGCATCACCTCCACTACTAGCATCACCCCAACACTAGCACCACCTTTAATGCCACCGATCCCAACGCTATTGTTAACGCCACCGCCGCCACTGTTAACGCCGTCACCACCACCACTGCTAGCGCCGCCGTCACTGTTAACGCCGCCGTCGCCGCCACTGTTAACGCCGCCGTCGCCGCCACCATTAACGCTGCTGCCGCCACTGTTAACGCCGCCGTCGCCGCCACTGTTAACGCCACCGCCGCCTCTTCAACGCCGCCGTCGCCGCCACTCGTTAACGCCGCCGTCGCCGCCACTGTTAACGCCACCGTCGCCGCCACTGTTAACGCCGCCGTCGCCGCCACTGTTAACGCCGCCGTCGCCGCCACTGTTAACGCCGCTGTCGCCGCCACTGTTAACGCCGCTGTCGCCGCCACTGTAACCGCCGTCACTGTAAGCGCTGCCCGCATCAGGGCGCGCCGATGTTTTCCAGCTACGTATAAGATTTATTCTCGCGCGTGTCGTGGTCGAGGCCGACACTAGGCAGGCTTATTCTGTTGTGGGGCGAGCTGGTGGATGAGGGACGAGAGAGAGAGAGAGAGAGAGAGAGAGAGAGATTGGGATTTAACGCCAAGAATAGTAGAATGGTGACGGGAGGTAGATTGGTGACTAAGGAAGTAGGCTGGTGACCAATGGAGTGTTAGAGTGGTGATTCAGAAGATTTGGAATGGTGAGGAGGAGGAGGAATCAGGCTAAGAGAGGAGGAGGAGGAAGGAGAGTATAAGGTAGGAGAGGAAAGAGGAGGAGGAAGAAGAATTTGTTATGAGAGTATGGATAAGGAATGAGGAGGAGGCAGAGTATAAGGTTAGAGAAGGGGTAGGCGGATGAGGAGGCAGGGTAAAGGAAGAAGAGTGAGGGAGGAGGAGGTAGGGTAAGAGAGTGAGGGGAGGAGGAGGTAGGGTAAGAGAGTGAGGGAGGAGGAGGTAGGGGTAAGAGAGTGAGGGAGGAGGAGGTAGGGTAAGAGAGTGAGGGGAGGAGGAGGTAGGGTAAGAGAGAGTGAGGGAGGAGGAGGTAGAGCAACAGAGTGAGGGGAGGAGGAGGTAGAGCAAGAGAGTGAGGGAGGAGGAGGTAGGGTAAGAGAGAGGGAGGAGGAGGGGGTAAGAGGAGTGAGGGAGGAGGTAAAGCAAGAGAGTGGAGGGAGGAGGAGGGTAAGAGAGGAGGGGAGGAGGAGGTAAAGCAAGAGAGTGAGGGAGGAGGAGGTAGAGCAACAGAGTGAGGGAGGAGGAGGTAGAGCAACAGAGGAGGGGAGGAGGGGAGGGGAGCAAGAGAGTGAGGGGAGGAGGAGGTAGAGCAACAGAGGAGGGGAGGAGGAGGTAGAGCAACAGAGTGAGGGGAGGAGGAGGTAGAGCAACAGAGTGAGGGAGGAGGGGAGGTAGGGATAAGAGAGTGAGGGAGGAGGGGTAGGGTAAGAGAGGAGGGGAGGAGGGAGGTAGGGTAAGAGAGTGAGGGAGGAGGAGGTAGAGCAACAGAGTGAGGAGGAGGAGGTAGGATAAGAGAGGAGGGAGGAGGAGGTAGAGCAACAGAGTGAGGGAGGAGGGAGGGGAGCAACAGAGTGAGGGAGGAGGAGGTAGGAGCAAGAGAGAGGGAGGAGGAGGTAGGGGAAGAGAGGAGGGAGGAGGAGGTAGAGCAACAGAGTGAGGGAGGAGGAGGAGAGCAACAGAGTGAGGGAGGAGGGAGGTAGGAGCAAGAGAGTGAGGGGAGGGAGGTGGGGTAAGAGAGTGAGGGAAGAGAGGTAGAGCAAGAGAGTGAGGGAGAAGGAGGTAGAGCAAGAGAGTGAGGGAGGAAGAGGTAGAGCAAGAGAGTGAGGGAGGAGGAGGTAGGGTAAGAGAGTGAGGGAGGAGGGGTAGGGGTAAGAGAGTGAGGGAGGAGGAGGTAGGTAAGAGAGTGAGGGAGGAGGAGGTAGGGTAAGAGAGTGAGGGAGGAGGAGGGAGGCATGGTAAGAGAGTGAGGGGAGGAGGAAAAGTGAGGAGAGGAAGAAGGAAGAGGAGGCAGCATCAGTAGGTGGTGGAGGTGAAGTGTGAGATGAATCAGGTGAAGGAATGATCAGTTACCTGTTGATAATTAATGATTAGCCCAGTGCCCGGCGTCAAGGTATGAGGGGAGGGAGGGGAGGGGGAGGGTGGGGTGGGGGGTGAAGGTGAAGGGCAAGGTCAATGGGGAGTGAAGGGGCAAGGTCAATGGGGGTGGAGGGAGGATGTGTTTAAAGTTAGGGGAGAGGAAGGAAGGTTATTGTTCATCATGTGTGTGTGTGTGTGTGTGTGTGTGTGTGTGTGTGTGTGTGTGTGTGTGTGTGTGTGTGTGTGTGTGTGTGTGTGTGTGTGTGTGTGTGTGTGTGTTATGCTACTTCATCATCATCATCATGGTGTGTGAGATGGGGTGTAACAGTGTCAGTGTGAGGGGCGAGGCAGGACATGAGCCAGCCTGCGGTAGCGACACACTCACACACACTAGATATATGATTTATGCTTAATAACGAGTTGTGGCTGAGGACAGAGGTCTTGAACCTTTCCCACGACGCCCAACAAGGGTTTCAGATCTCTTTCTAGGGTTCGTGGTTAAATTTTCCTCCTTGACTGGTTAAGTGGCAACATTCACAGCTGGTTGGAAATAGCGTCAAAATATCAAAGATGGCGCCAGAATTACACCCAGACTCAGGTTTGACCAGATGGGGTTCATTTGGCATTAGTTTGAGGGTCGGAGTTTGACATAATGAATCTTAGCGAATCCGGATCCCAAGGGGTTGAACTTGACCTTGTGAACGACTTATTATATGTCAGTGTGTGTGTGTGTGTGTGTGTGTGATAATATAATAATAATAATAAACGGTTTATTAAAAGAGTTGCAGCCGGTGGCTGAAAATATACAAACTTACATGTGAATTAAACATAATAATATACGTTCAATGCATTTACAGGGCTGTACAGTACATAAGTCAGGAGCTGTTTATTATTTTAACAATAGATGGTATGGTGCTATTCTTATATCTATCAGTGCGGGCTCTTAGGCTGAATTTGTTGTAGTCGGACTGCACGAGGTGTGGGGGACTGCCGTGGCAGTAGGTGGCTATGACGAGGATGGCAGTAGTTCACTGCCAAACCAGTGGGAGAGAAGCATTGTTGTGCTTGAGTAGTCTGCGCCGAGCATGATTCTGCAGGCCCTTCTGTTCTCTAGCTGTCGTTGTTGGGTAGAGTTGGAGAAGACGACCAAGCTGGTGACGCACACGTTAATTTAGGAGAATAAATGCGTTGTAGACAGTCCCTGCCTGGCGTGGGCCCCAAATGACCTGAGTCGTCGTAGCATAGAGTCGGTACTAGGCTGCCTTGATAGTGTTGTTTACATGGGCCTTCCAGTCCAGTTTGTTGTCTATAGTTACACCCAGGAGTTTGACAGACTGCACTAACTGGAGAGGATGGGCACCCACTGTAACTGCTAGAGCTTGCACTGGAGTGGTGGCGGTATTGAAGTGCATGACTACGGATTGTGATTGATGGTGACCTCCGTAATCCATGCCTGTAGCCTGTCCACGGTGCCTTGTAGCGATGAGTAGTCCGGTGAGGTGTTGTCCACGGTCACCCCCGCAGTGCAGTCATCCACGTACTTCCACTTGTGTGTGTGTGTCGTGATCACGTCAACATATTTTAATTTTATAATTTTTTTGTGAAGATAAGTTAGAATTTATGACCTGTACACGTACCCAGACTTGGTGGAACACACGCACACATGCCTCATGCACTCACTGGCGACTCATGTACCCCACACACACATCACAGACACACCACACATCACAGACACACCACACATCACAGACACACAGACACACAACATACACAGACACACAACATATCACAGACACACAACACATCACTGACACACAACACATCACAGACACATCACAGACACACAACACATCACAGACACACAACACATCACAGACACACCACCACCACAAATCCAAGCAACATGGGCACCACGGGCTCACACCACGCTCTAGAATAGAACATACCATGCACACATGCACGCTCCCCGCCACGCATGCATCACGCACTCAAGCACGTTACACATGTATGCACGCACACATGTACGTGCGATTCATGGATTACACTCAAGCACACGCTACACATGCATTCACGCACGGTCTATTTATGCATGCACTTACGCACTACTCATGCCTGCATGCACCACATACACACGCACGCATCCACCATACATAAACGTACGTGCGCTTACGCCACACACACACACACACACAACACGAGAGAGAGAGAGGAGAGAGAGAGAGAGAGAGAGAGAGATTCAAATTACACCGGCGGGGAGGAACACAGGACGACACTCCCCCTGCAGCACACCACCGTTATCATCTACCGTCAACCAGGGCAGAAACAAGTGTAATTTTACCGCGGAGGGAAAAAAAAAAACCAAGACTCTGAGACATCCCAGTTATTTTCCACCCTAATCATTGTAATTCATAGATAAATATTCTTGTATATGAATTTAAATACGTGTGTTTGGCTGGTGTGTGTATGGAAGGGTGGTATTTTCTTCAGCCCAGGTATAGTTCTAGTTATGGTTGTGTTATCCCGTGGTGCTGGGGTGGAGCTTGCATGGAGTCTACCTGACGCTAATTTCAGGGGTTCTTGAGATACTAGGGAGGACCTGGGAATCTGACCCTAGTATCGACGAGGTTGTCAAGAAAGGTGTGACAGCAGTAGCCAGCACATCATATTATCTTCACTGCTGCCAAGTCATGTCACATAGCAAGGTAGGTTAGGTTAGGTTAGGAGGTTGCTGAGTTGGATTAAGTTAGCTGGGTTAGGTTAGGTTTATTGGGTTTGGTTAAGTTAGGTTAAGTGGGTTGGGTTGAAATTGGTTAGGTGAGCTATGCTAGGACAGCTTATAAATTGGGTTAGGGTTGGATTAGGTTAGGTGCTAGGGTTAGGTTAGCAGCTATGTTAGGACAGGTTGGTTAAATTGGGTTAGGCTTGAATAAGATATGGGATTAGGGTACATTTAAGTTAGAATAGGACTTAGGTTAGATTAGGTTACTTTTGATCGGATGGATTTTGAGTTCGGTTAAGTTAAATTGTTACATTTGGTGGTAGTATGGGTGAGTTAGGTTTGGTTGAATTAGCCAAAGTTGGGCTAGCAGGGGAAAATATTGGTTAATAGTACCGATTTCCTTCACCCGCGACAAATTAGGTGAGGTTAGGTTAGGTTCTCAACCCAGAATCACTCAGCAAGAGACGATCTACCCGGACACTCAGCAAGAGACGACCTACCCGGACACTAGCAAGAGACGATCACCCGACACTCAGCAAGAGACGACCTACCCGACACTCAGGGCAGGACGATCTACCCGGACACTCAGTAAGAGACGATCTACCCGGACACCTCAGCAAGAGACGATCTACCG